TTTCACCATGTTGACCAGGATGGTCTCGATCTCTTGACCTTGTGATCCACCCGCCTCGGCCTCCCAAAGTGCTGGGATTACAGGCTTGAGCCACCGCGCCCGGCCAACATTGCCCTTTTTCTAACATTGCCTTTATTTTCTCCTGACCCTCTCCATCTGAAGGAGTTTGTTGCTATGTGCTTAATGTTTGGTACACAGTGAAAAATATGCATATATACACACATATATACATATATACACATATATGTATAAAATATATACACACATACACATGCACGTGAGAATATATATCACATCCCTAATGCTTGGCACACAGTGGGAAATATAAAATACATACATTAATGAGGAAGCACTATCTGTACATAATGTACCTTTTTTCTATCTTAAATATTACATAATAAACATTTAGGCCGGGCGCGGTGGCTCACGCCTGTAATCCCAGCACTTTGGGAGGCCGAGGCGGGTGGATCACGAGGTCAAGAGATCAAGACCACCCTGGTCAACATGGTGGAACCCCGTCTCTACTAAAACTACAAAAAATTAGCTGGGCATGGTGGCGCATGCCTGTAATCCCAGCTACTCAGGAGGCTGAGGCAGGAGAATTGCCTGAACCCAGGAGGCGGAGGTTGCAGTGAGCCGAGATCGCGCCATTGCACTCCAGCCTGGGTAACAAGAGCGAAACTCCGTCTCAAAAAAATAATAATAATAAAATAAAAAATAAATAAATAAATAAACATTTAAAGGGTATGAAATGTGCGTAATACCAATCTCCTTTTCTCCTAGGAGAAGTCATGTGGTCTCTTGCAGCAGCAGTTAAGAGTTGCTGGCAAACTTCCTAGGTTTGAATCTAGGCTCCACGTAATAGCTCTGTGATCCTGAGTAAGTGCTTTTATTTTTACTTCTCTCAGCCACTGTTTCTTCTTCTGTAGCATGGAAATAATGATAATAATACCTTCCTCTTGAGGTGGGTGTGAGTAATAAGTACAATGATACTTGTCGAGCATTTGGTACAGTGCCGAACTCAGAGTGTGCTCTCCTGATCTCAGCTATCATTATGATCATATAAAAAGGCCACTAAAAAGTTGTAATCCACAGGTTTTGAGGCAAATGTGTTGTTGTGTTTACTGCAGAATTTCACCATCTTAGTTATTTGATGTCCCTAAGGAGCACTGGGGAGAAAGTTTCAAAAACAACTCTATCCCTGTCCATGTTAGGAAAGACACACTCCTTGTTCACTGGGAGATAATGAAGTCACGTTCCTGGGTAGATGTAAGTAAGGTGCTTTCATCTCCCTCCTCCCCATAACCTCAGTGAGTGGAAATGTGAAAGTCAGGAGGCTTGGTTACCTGATCTTTCAGGGAAAAGTAGCCCTCAGAACTTTGTGTTACAAAATGTTTGAGTTGGAGGAACCCTTATAGAGCTGGTATTCCAATCCTATTACTCTGTAGATAAGAAAAGCAAGGCCGACTGAGACACAGTGTCCTGGCACAGGCGGCATGGCTGAGACTGAGCTTCGCTCTGCCATTTCTAGTGCGTGGCTCTAGGCAACTCATGTCATCTCGTTGTGCCTCAGCTTCCTCTCTACCACATGAAGGCTATGATCTCTTCCTTATGAAGTTGTTTGGAGGAGCTCATAAAATAATGTATTTTATGTGAATAATGTATTTTATGTGAAGAATGTAATGAATTGTAAAACATTTTCTTCAAAAAAAAAAACAAATTTCACAAATATCAGAGCACAAAGGACAAAAGCCTTTTACAGATGGGCAAATTCTTTAGGGCACTGCTTGTTCCAAGCAGCTTTGTAAAGAATCTCGATCCCCAGGAGCTCTCAATCAGCATTGCCAGTTAATGACAATGTTGATTCTTTGGGGCTTCTCCAGGAGGGTGAGAGTGACAAGGTCTTCATGGTGTTGTAGCTGTGTACTGGGTAATGTCTAGTAGGCAGGGGCTAGAAAAAAGTGTTTTTCTTTTAAGGGGGGCCATCATAGAGATAATATTGTAAAGAACTCCTTTATATATAAAACCTACTTAAAAATCCATATCTAGCCAGGTATGGTGATTCACACCTATAATCCCAAAGCCTGGAGTAGCTGAAGTGGGAGGATCTCTTGAGGCCAGGAGTTCAATACCAGCCTGAGAAACATCAAAACTCCATCTCTACAAAAAATAAACAAATTAACTGGGCATGATGGCATGTACCTGTAGTCCCAGTTGGGAGGCTGAGGTGGGAGGATCACTAAAGACCAGGAGTTGGAGACTGCAGTGAGCTGTGATCACACCATTGCACCCAAGTCTGGGTGACAGAGCCAGACCCTGTCTCTAAAAATAAAAATAAAAATCTGACTAGGCGGGGCACGATGGCTCATGCCTGTAATCCTAGCACTTTGGGAGGTCAAGGCGGGTAGATCACTTGAGGTAGGAGTTCAAGACCAGCCTGGCCAACATGGCAAAACCCAAGGTCTACTAAAAATACAAAAATTAGCCAGGCGTGGTGGTGCATGCCTGTAATCCCAGCTACTCAGGAGGCTGAGGCAGGAGAATCACTTGGACCCAGGAGGCAGAGGTGGTAGTGAGCTGAGACTGCGCCACTGCACTCCAGCCTGGGTGACAGAGTGAGACTCCATCTCAAAAAACAACAACAACAACAAAAGCAAAACAAAAAATCTGACTCAAGGGCTGCAGGAAAGAGGCAACATCAAGCACTTTCAGCGGGCAATGGGTATAGTTTGGTACAAACTGAGGCCAGCACTTGCTAAAGTTGGAGAGTGGGAGTCTGGTATGCCAGAGCTTGCCTCCCCTGCAATGTAAGTTTCTTTCTACAGTCCGCAGCCATCTCCTGATCATCTATACTTCTGCCATTCTGGCTCCCTGGCTTGTCTTGAACCTTATGCCCTCTTTATGATGTTAACAAACGTCCAGCAGGGGTCACTCTGATGTTCTCCTGGAGACAGCACAGGTCGGTGACTAAAGCAGGGTAGCTTGGCTGGGTACGCAGGCAGGCTCAAATCCCAGCACTTTGGGAGGCTAAGGTGAGAGGATTCCTTGAGCCCAGGAGTTCAAGGCCTGTCTGACCGCATCTCTACAAAAAATTTTAAAAATTAAGCCGGGCACAGTGGCTCACGCCTGCAATCTCAACACTTTGGAAGGCCAAGGTGGACAGGTTACCTGAGGTCAGGAGTTCGAGACCAGCCTGGGCAACACGGCGAAACCCTGTCTCCACTAAAAATACAAAAATCAGCTGGGTGTGGTGGTGGGTGCCTGTAATCCCAGCTACTTGGGTGGCTGAGGCATGAGAATCGCTTGAACCCAGGAGGCAGAGGTTGCAGTGAGCCGAGATCAAGCCACTGCACTCCAGCCTGGGGGATACAGCGAGACTCTGTGACTCTGTCTACAAAAAAAAAAGAAGAAAAAAATTAAAGAATTAATTGGACATGGTGGACCACACCTGTAGTTCTAGCTACATGGAAGGATTGCTGGAGCACAGGAGGTTGAGGCTGCAGAGAACTGTGATCATACCACTGCACTCCAGACTGGGCTACAGAGTAAGACCCCATCTCTTAAAAACAGCAACAATAAAGAGTAAGGACGCTGGAGTCTGCCTGCTAGATCTGAACATCAGTTGTGCCAGTTACTAGCTGTGCATCATTGGATGGATTATTTAACTTCTCTGTGCCTCATCTGCCAAATGGGAATAACAATAGGACATACCTCATGAGATTGTTATGAAGATTAAATTAATTAGTATAATAGCAAAGGCCAGGCACGGTTGCTTATGCTTGTAATCCTAGCACTTTGGAGGCTGAGGTGGGTGGATCACCTGAGGTCAGGAGTTCAAGACCAGCCTGGCCAACGTGGTAAAACCCCATCTCTACTAAAAATACAAAAATTAGCCAGGTGTGGCAGTGAGCACCTGTAATCCCAGCTACTTAGGAGGATGAGGCAGGAGAATCACTTGAACCCGGGAAGTGGAGGTTGCAGTGAGCTGAGATTGCACCACTACACTCTAGCCTGGGCAACAGAGCAAGATTCTATCTCCAAAAAAAAAAAAAAAAAAACAAGACTCATTAGCCGGGTGTAATGGCATGCACCTGTAATCACTTGAGCCTAGGAAGTCAAAGCTGCAGTGAGCTGTGATTGTGCCACTGCACTCCAGACTGGGTGACAGAGTAAGACCCTGTCTCAAAAAAAAAAAAAAAAAAAACCCAAACTATATGTATATACATATATATACACACATATATGTATATGTAGTTCTATATATATAAATATTATATATATACATATATATATGGAAAACTCTTAGAATAGTACCTGGTGCATGGTCAGTGATACATAGATCACTGAGGGGGGGAGATAGGAAAGACACATTCCTTGTTCACTGGCAGATAATGAAGAAATATTCCAGGGAGGATGCCAATAAGGACCTTTAGTCTCCCCCTTCCCACCCACACATCAAATAAAATAAATTATAGGGGAAGTGGCTTCTGTACACCTCTCTGAGCCTGAGGATAGAGCTTCATGATGACACATACTGCAGCAAATCATAAGCCAAAGCACGGAGTTGTTGGCAGTGAATTTACTGTTGGGATATTACAGATTGATTACAGTATATTAAATAGATTGGATAAGGCCAAGAGGACAGATTGGTATCTCGAAGACACGGATGGAATTTTCCTCTAGAATGCCAGGAAGGAGCTCTACCCTCACAATACAGTCTTCATGCCTCCTCAACTGTGCAGGGGACATAGAGAGGACAGAGCAAAGTACTTTTGCCAGGAGATAAGAGGATCCATCTTTATGCCTATCAAAGGGGGAACTTGCAACACAGTCTCTCTCTGAGTCCCAGGACAGCAGAACACCCAGGGCTAGCGGGCAGGCCTGCTGGGTAGAAGATAAAGTGTATGTTAAATGACTGACATTGGGTGGGAACAGGGGCCCCATCTCTGATTGGTGAGTTAGACACAGTCCTGGGCAGGAGACCAAATAAAACTTGGCTTCGCATCAGTCCCATGCTTCAGACCCATCTATCTTTGGTCTTTCAAGTTAAACCCAAAGCAACATCCATCATCTGCATTTCTTCACTTTTGTGTCCCATTCCTTCCAGGATGCCTTCTTCCTTTCCCCCCTGCCCCCCAGGCCCACTCTGGTGGAGTGGGAAAGTCCAGTGCTTTGATACCAGGTAAATACCGTATTTTATCTTGCCTTTTAACAGACTTGTTATTGGTTCATTGTTCAAACATCCATGTCATCTGCATTGTCAGTCACAAGGGTGGGTCTCTAGAGGACATGGATCCTGCCTGTTTGCTTGATTTGACTTAAAGATACATCACTCAGCACAATTACTTATTAAAAGGCATTTGATTATAACAGTGTTGAAAGGAAATTTCCAGAGAAGAGCTTCATCTGTTAATTAGATTGCATCCAGTTTTCTTTTTAATTTTCTTGAGCTCCTTTCAGATAAATTGGAAAACAAATACTCTCAATTAAGACATAATTGATATTGAGAAGCCTACCCCCAAATGGCCTGAATTTCTATGGGTGATTAAGAGCATGGGCCCTGGAGCCTACATTTTATCTCCAATAATTTGCTAGCTGTGTAACACTGTTACACAATGTTGGGCGAATGACTGACCTCTCTGAAAAACATAAACCTCACCTGCAAAATGGAGCTATTTCATAGGACTCTTCTGAGGATTAAATAAAATAATGCAGGTAAAGTATTCGTCACATTGCTTAAAATGTAGTACATGCTCTCATATCACCCTTAAATTAGAAATTCATTTACTGATTTGTATCATCTTCCCAAGGGCAAATTGATTAGCCTGCCCACCAAACTGTGAACTCTGAAGGCAAAAACGCATTTAAGTTGTAATCACTTTAGAAACATTAAAAATTTTGCTGACTTCTTTTTTTTTTCTTTGAGACAGGGTCTCACTCTATCACCCAGGATGGAGTGCAGTGGTGCAATCTCCATTCACTGCAAGCTCCACCCCACACTCCACCCCCACCCTTTTATTCCCCAACTCCTGGGCTCAAAGGATCCTCCCACCTCAGCCTCCTGAGTAGCTAGGACTACAGGCATGCACCACTATGCCCAGCTAATTTTTTGTTTTTGTTGTTTCATTTTTTGTAGAGACGGGGTTTTTATCATGTTGCCCAGGCTGGTCCTGAACTGGGCTCAAGTGATCAGCCTGCCTCAGCCTCCTAAAGTGCTGGTATGACAGATGTGAGCCACCACACCTGGCCTGCCGACTCTTTTATCTTTTATACACACACACACACACACACACACACACACACACACACACACACACTCTCTCTCTCTCTCTCTCCCTCTCTCTCTCTCTCTCTTAAAAGTTTTTAGCCCGGGCGCGGTGGCTCAAGCCTGTAATCCCAGCACTTTGGGAGGCCGAGGTGGGTGGATCATGAGGTCAAGAGATCGAGACCATCCTGGCCAACATGGTGAAACCCCATCTCTACTAAAAATACAAAAAATTAGCTGGGCATGGTGGTGTGTGCCTGTAATCCCAGCGACTCAGGAGGCTGGGGCAGGAGAATTGCCTGAACCCAGGAGGCGGAGGTTGCAGTGAGCCGAGATCGCGCCATTGCACTCCAGCCTGGGTAACAAGAGCGAAACTCCGTCTCAAAAAAAAAAAAAAAAAAGTTTTTAGGCCACAAGCCATTTCTGCCAAACAAAAAATTCCATGGAATGATACATTTATAATTTATTTTCTTGCTCTTCTTTATTGCAAGAAAAACATTATCATTTCTGTTTACCTCTGCAAAGAAATCACGAGAATATAAGAAAATAATTCAAAAGAAAAAAATATAGATAAATATGTACAGTTGACCCTCCATATCCACGAGTTCCGCATCTGTGGCTTCAACAAAATGGGGATGGAAAATACAATATTCGCCAGGTGTGGTGGCTCACACTTGTAATCTCAGCACTTTGGGAGGCCGAGGTGGGCGGATCACCTGAGGTCAGGAGTTCAAGACCAGGCTGACCAACATGGTGAAACCCTGTCTTTAAAAAAAAAAATATATATATATATATATATATAAATTTTAAAAAAAAGGAAAATACAATATTCTTGGAATGAATGCATGGTTACAGAGGCTTACTTTTCACACCTGGGGTTTCAGCAGGGCTAACTGCAGGACCTGAGCATCCTCAGATTTTGGTATTCAAGGGGATCCCGGAACAAATCCCCTTCAATATCAAGGGATGACCATGTATATATCCAGTCATGCACCACACAACATTTTGGTCAATGATGGACCACATATATGACGGTGGTCCCATAAGATGATAAGCTGTATTTTTACTGTACTTTTTATGTGTTCAGATATGTTTGAATACACAAATGCTCACCATTGCGTTACAGTTGCCTACAGTATTCAGTGTAGTAACATGCTGTACAGGTTTGTGCCTAACAGCAATGGGGGACGGTATTAAGGCATTGCGCCCTTAACCTGTGGGCTCGCCAGGTGTTAGAACTGAATTGAATTATAAGACATCCAGCTGGTGTCTGTTACAGAATTGCTTGCATGATATGTGAGGAAAAAAAACTCACATATATCTGGTATCAAAAGTGTTATGCTGAATGACTGTGTAGGAGAATAGGAAAAAGACACTTTGGGCTGGGTGTGGTGGCTCATGCCTGTAATCCTAGCACTTTGGGAGGCCAAGGCAGGCGGATCACTTGAGGCCAGGAGTTTGACCAGCCCGGGCAACAAGTCGAAACCCCATCTCTACAAAAAATACAATAATTAGGCCGGCGTAGTGGCTCACACCTGTAATCCCAGCACTTTGGGAGGCCGAGGAGGGCAGATCACTTGAGGTCAGGAGTTTGAGACCAGCTTGACCAACATGGAGAAACCCTGTCTCTACTAAAAATACCAAATTAGCTAGGTGTGGTGGTGCATGCCTGTAATCCCAGCTACTCAGGAGGCTGAGGCAAGAGAATTGCTTGAAACTGGGAGGCAAAGGTTGTGGTGAGCTGAGATCATGCCATTGCACTGTAGTTTGGAAAACAAGAATGAAACTGTCTCAAAAAAAAAAATAATAATAATAATACAATAATTAGCCAGGCATGGTGGCACATACCTATAGTCCCAGGTACTCAGAGGGCTGAGGCAGGAGGATCATTTGAGCCCAAGATACAGAGGTTGCAGTGAGCCAAGATTGTGCCATTGCACTCTAGCCTGAGTGACAGAGTAAGACTCTCTCTCAAAAAAAAAAAAAAAAAAAAAAAAAAAAGACACTTTGGTTTTTTTCCTTAATATCTCAGATGCATATATTCTGTTTATAGCAACAGATATATATATATATATGTGTGTGTGTGTGTGTGTGTGTGTGTGTGTATGTATTCTGCTTAAGCAATACTACACAGTTTAAAAAATGTTAAAAAAAAAAAAATGGAAAAAGCTGGGCGAAGTGGCTCATGCCTGTAATTCTAGCACTTCGGGAGGCTGAGGTGGGTGAATCACCTGAGGTTGGGTGTTTGAAACCAGTTTGACCAACATGGAGAAACCCTGTCTCTACTAAAAATACAAAATTACCCAGCCTTGGTGGCACATGCCTGTAATCCCAGCTACTCGGGAGGCTGAGGCTAGGCTCACTTGCACCCAGGAGGTGGAGGTTTCAGTGAGCCGATATCATGCCACCACATTCCAACCTGGGCAAAAAGAGCAAAAAACTCCATCTCAAAAAAAAAAAAGGAAAAATGTACAATTGTAGGGGAATAGCTAAATTAGATATGACAAAACATGATTGGAATTTTTGCAGTCATTTAAATTAGTGACTATTAGAAAGATGGAAAAGTATTTACAAAATAAGTGAGAATATGGAAATATAAAAGTATATGCAATTATGACAATTAAAAACTGTGATATATTTATTTATGCAGCTTTAACCTTTTAGGCTATTTAAATTTTGAACTTTTACAAGCATGCCCGTGTGTTACTCAGATAACAAAAACTTATTAGAGTACAAATAAAAGAAAAAGTATGTTAAAGATCATAAATTAATTTTAGTACAACCATCTTTTGTAAAATTTCAAAGTTTATTGATTTATTTTTATTTATTATTATTATTTTTGATGGAGTCTTGCTCTGTTGCCCACGCTGGAGTGCAGTGGTGCCATCTCAGCTCACTGCAGCCTCTGCCTCCTGGGTTCAAGCCATTCTCCTGCCTCACCCTCCCAGTTAGTGAGATTATAGGTGCGCACCTTACGCCTAATTTTTGTATTTTTAGTAGAGACGGGGTTTTGACATGTTGGCCAGGCTGGTCTTGAACTCCTGACCTCAGGTGATCCAACTGCCTTGGCCTCAGAAAGTGCTGGGATTACAGGCATGATCCACCACGCCCGGCATTTTTTTTGAGACGGAGTCTCAAGTCTTGCTCTGTTGCCCAAATTGGAATACAGAGGCACAGTCTCAGCCCACCGCAGCCTCTGTCTCCCAGGTTCAAGTGATTCTCTTGTCTCAGCCTCCCTAGTAGCTGGGATAACAGGTGCATGTTACCATACCCCACTAATTTTTGTATTTTTAGGCTGGTCTCAAACTTCTGACCTCAGGTAATCCACCTGTCTCAGCCACCCAAAATGCTGGATTACAGGTGTGAGGCACCACACGCAGCCCAAAGTTAATTTAATAATTATGTATTTTTAAATTTTTTTTTGAGATGGAGTCTCGCTTTGTCACCCAGGCTGCAGTGCAGTGACACGATCTCGGCTCACTGCAACCTCTGCTGCCTGGGTTCAAGCGATTCTCCTCAAGTGATCCTCCTTCCCAAGTAGCTGGGACTACAGGCACATGCCATCATGCCTGGCTAATGTTTTGTACTTTTAGTAGAGGTGGGGTTTTACTGTGTTAACCAGGACGGTCTCGAACTCCTGACCTCATGATCCGCCTGCCTCAGCCTCCCAAGTAGCTGGGACTACAGGCGCATACCATCACTCCTGGCTAATGTTTTATAGCTTTAGTAGAGATGGGGTTTTACTGTGTTAACCAGGACGATCTCGAGCTCCTGACCTCGTGATCCTCCTGCCTCAGCCTCCCAAAGTGCTGGGATTACAGGTGTGAGCCACTGCACCTGGCCTAATAATTATGTATTTTAAAATACATAGAAATATTTTGAAGAATAACAATGCTTTAAGTGAGATGCTAATGTAG